CCATGGTGCAGTCGGCCCTCACAATGCTCAACGAACCCACAGCCCTGCCCAAGAAGTGAGTTATAACAACATACTGCCTGACAAGGGAGTGACTTTTCACCAAAATACAGATTCAGCACACACACTTTGAATCTAAATGTCTCTTTGCACAATTGATATGCTCGTTCCAAGTTATTCTCTAGTTTTTTGTTAAATTTCGGATATACATATGCAGGACTAATATTTTGCAGGTCCAGTCCATTTCACCATATTTGTTATGTTATATTTAATCCATCTAGACAGTGACACATGGAAAAGTATTGTGTTAATACATTTTAATTGGAGTAGGCATAAAACTGAATATGTGGGACTGTTATATAAAATAACAACATAAGAGTTTTTCTAGAAGGTGATCTTACATACAGGAGCTTACATAGGAACCTGGGAACAGTGTTTTTAAATCCTAAATTATGCTTCAAACAAAGCGTTTTCATTTCTATGTTTTACGGTTTAGTGTGAATATCGCTTGAGGAATGAAACTCATTTGATATCCTTCATTTCCAGGGGAGGGGTCTACACTCCAGCAGCTCTTTTTGCAAAAACCACCCTGACCGACCGCCTCCACAAACACGGGATCGAGTTTACTGTCCTCTAAAGTTTGTCCCCTCCCTGATGCCATACTCCAGGTTTTTGTCAGCACTTACTAATACTTACAATATACTAATAATAAATGGAAAGCTTCCTACTTTTATAAGAGGGCTATTTAATCACAATAGCTTTATGGAGTGCCCTTTCAGATTAAGCTCTAACAGCATTTTTGATTGCATTTTCTGCATTTATAATTTCTTTATTTAATCAAATACTTGCCGGTGTCTCTTTGGCTTGAATGTACTATTGACCCTCTGCTTGAAAGACAAAAGGTACAGCTGCTGCAGCCAAGCACAACAATTATTCAATAATGCACAACAGCTGCGTGTGAACAGATTTAACACGGCTAGGCTCTAACATGATTATTGTCCATGAAGTTTGTTCAGGTTCGCTGTGTCAATTCAATTCATCTTTTTACCTAATTGGACAAAACATGTTTACTACTAGTCTTGCTCTCCTGCTGTACACTGTCAGGTGATACAAGTGAAAACATTTAGATTGCCTATTTATCATACCAAAGATCAGTTAGTGAAATATTGTACTGACAAATATGAAATTATGATCCAACAGTGTTTACATCAAATCATTAAAATTTGAATAATGGTGCGTCCACATCTTCTGCATAATAACAGAATCTCCTAAATGATGCAGCCTTTACGAAATTTACCTACTTATACGTGGCAACAAATCTCACATTCTCTCAACTGTTTCATCAAAGAGGAACTTTGCTAATTTTCATTACCCACTGTGTAGTGTAAAGCTATCTCTACTATCTGTGTATGTGTCGGTGTGTGTGCATGTGTATCCTTGCCTTTCCTGGCCTGGCCTGTTAGCCTGATTGCTTTGTTTTTGACAGTTAATAGTTTGATAATGGCTAAATCATCATACTTTTTCAATCTTTCTACAGTTTTTTTGTATCTGAATGCTGCAATGGTTCACCATTACGAACATGTGTTTGAGCCTTGACATAAAATGCATCCAGTTTATGCACGAGACGGCACTGTTTACTCCAATGGACTGAAAGTATCCTGTCTGATGTTTTGTTAACACGTTTGTGGGGGGGGTTTTATCCACAAAAATCTCAGTTCTTGTTTTTCCATTTTTTATTATGTGCATGTGATAAGAAATATTTTGGGTTTTGTTTGGTTGTGCTGTGCTTTGTTTGGGCCTCATGAATAAAATCATCTCTTCAAAAATAAAAAGTGCCTGTCTTTCTTGCAAAGATCTTTGGATACATACTTTATGAGCATAATGCATTTCCTGTCTACAGGAAGAGGTTCTCGTGATTGGTGGTTTACATTCAAATACTTTTTTTCAAAAGAAAGAGTATTATAGAATTTTAAAGTTACAAGTTGGGACAATCTCTGAAAAAACACTCAATAAATAGATATTGGTACATTTCCATTATCAAGAATGTTGTGCCTAATTGATTTGGCTCGCTATCAAGCAGACCAAGTGAGAAATAGGTTGAGATAAAAAATATATATAAAGTAGTTCTGTGAGAAAGATGTTACTGACACAATGTGATTTTATTTAGTTTAAGACCGTTTGATTCATTATTACCTTATTTAAAATGAGTCTTATCTGTGATCCAAATAAAGTATTTGTTTCTTAACAAAATGTCCCGTGTTTAAATAATCAAAGTCAACTTTATTGTCAATCTTCCAGTTTGTGTGTACAGACAGAGATCGAAATACCGTTTCCCACAATCCCAAATATAAAAACAAATGTATATAAAAATGTGTGCAAATATTTATATATATACACGGTCAAAGATACATTTTTACATGTGCACACATTAAGACCTAAGTTAAAAAGACAACAATCAGTATGTACAAAAGAACAGTCACTTCAATATTTTGATAATGTACATTAGTGCAAGATTGTCTTATAGCAGCGTAAAACGTGTCTGGTGCTAGATTTGAGTGTCTGAGTGTGTGGGGGAGTTATAGTCCAGTGGGGGCAGGGGGGAGAGAGGGAGGGAGGGGAGAGAGTTCAGCCTCCTGACAGCCTGGTGTAAAAAAACTGTTCTTTAGTCGAGTAGTGCTCGACCTCAGGCTGCGTAACTTCCTCCCGGAAGGCAGGAGGGTGAGGAGGCAGTTGGAGGGATGGGTGGGGTCACCCACAATGCTGAGTGCTCTGCGGGTGAGGCGGGTGTTGTAGAGGTCCAGGAGTGACGGGAGTGTGGCACCGATGATCCTCTCAGCTGTGCTCAATAATAAAAGGATTATCATAAAAATACAATTAATTATTACTATTGTGGCCAGGATAATCATTGTAAAGTGAACATTTCATATAGACCCATTCCTGATTCTAGACAACTGAAAGTCAAGTATTGCATCAGTGAGAATTTCATCACGTATCGTTGATAGAAAAACTTAAATCTTAAGCATCACTTTCACAGGAAGTGCCATCTTTTATGTTTTAGAAGTAATCCTTTAATGCTCTCAAAAAAAATTCTGTTTCACATTTAATTCAGTCAGCCATCCATAGTTTTTCTGAAAGACATCAGCTCAATAGTCTCAGCAGTGAGTTGAATCACGAAGCTCTCCACACTGTTGGCTCTAATATTGAACTAAGGTACGGTGAGTAGGAATGTCTTTCAGTTTTTAGAGTAAAGCAATCCTTTACTTTTCACAATTGAACTAACAGAAACAGTTTGTCAAATGTGGTATACCAATATCGTTATCATTCACAGTATGTTTTTCATTCAGAAAGAAGTGTATACTATCTAAAAAATAACGTTTACTAAACCTGTTGTACCTTATCCTGTCCTTACAGGATGTGTTGAGAAACGTTTTGCTTCAACATCAACAGTAGGCAAACACTGTGCAAAGCAACACAAAGGGCAAAGGATATACTATTACGCAACGAATGTTGACTAATAATGAGTTCAACTTATTTTGCTAACTCATGTTGTTCAGACAGACTTTGGGCCATATTTTCGCACAGCAACAATGACTTTGGATTTTTTCTATCATCTCCTACGTTTGGACCCTGTTGGGAAATTATCCTTTGTTGGTCATTTTGAACAGGTAACATGACTAAATCAAAGTCACACACTCTCCTCCACACTGTGACAAAGCTTATTTCAGGATTAATCTTCAGGTTGTGAGGTTGCATGCTGATACAATTAAAACAATGATTAGCAATAAAGTATGTTCGTAATAGCAGTGATATCCCCACAGAAAAGTGCATTAACATCAGCTACATTACATTTAGCTGACACTTTGATAAGTGTACTCAACCATGAGATAGTTAATATTTAGTTGTCTTTGGTTCTTTTCTTGCTGTAACAAATGCAAATGATCCCCCCTTTGGGATGTATAAAGGTGTGTGTGTGCGTGTGCGTGCGTGTGCGCGTGTACAATTTATATATGAAAAAAAAACGTTTTGCCAGCTATTTTGTCATTTTACAATGCAACGTCAGATAAAAGTAATTAAGAAAATCGTACTCTCTAAGTCTTAACATGTTCAAGATTTCCAAAGACTGATTTGGGAAATTGTATTCCCAATTAAGGCCATATTTTTAGAATGAATTCAATGCAGCTTTTTAGGCTTTGTTCACAGGAACCTCGGACAATGCAGTCGTTTTTGCACTGTCACAATGACTTTGGAATTTGTCCCGTTATAGCTTAAATTTAGATCCTGTGGGTCACGGACATTTGGTTTGTCCTCATGAACAGCTTTTTGTATCATCTTGTGAGATTACATGGCTGATAGCAATCAATCATTAAACCAATAATTGGCATCAGCAATAATATATAATAAACTAATGTTTATTACTAGCAGTGATATCAAGCAGCTGTCACTGAAACGTGATTGTATGCAAGTATGACTGTTAAATTGTATACATTTAACTATGTACTTGTCTGTCTGGATGTTTGTATATTCATCCTCATCCATAGTGAGTCTTTGATATTATTGATATATCTTAGTGACCAGCCCCTATAGTCTTTTTTTTTAACTTTTATTCCCTGCTGTATTGCTAATTGTATCTACATCTCTTTGGTTGAAATATCAATATATTATAATATAGGCTGTATCCTCTTGGTGTAATGACAAGCTGAGTTTGTGGAATTTTTAGACCTTTTTTTAAAGTAAATGGTGTATTTAGCAGAATATAAATTTGCACAAATATATCTAATCTCATTCAGAAAATACCACCTCTATGACTGAATTAAGACGTTAATAAGATACTATAATGCACTAATGCTTTCTCTCTTTCATGGAGACAGCTGCTGAAACATATAATACTATATAATGCATATAGTATTAAGAAAAACATTTGACTTTGCCATGACCGTTATTAGAAAGTACAAATGGGCATATATAAACTTCACCATGTCAAGAAGTAAAATCGGACTAAAGCACCAGATATTGTAACAAAATTCAAATATTTATTCATAAAAATAAATGTATCTCCGGTACAAAACAGACAGCAAATTGTTCATGAATAGAAATGGCAGGAATATGATTTGTTCTTCCTCACATAATGTTTCTTGGCAGTGTAAATTGTAAAACATCTAATTTGTTCCACTTATTAGCTCATAATTTAAGCACAACCTTAACAAAAGATTATATATCCATTGTTTTCATTCTGCAGTTCAGTGGCTATGTAGCAACCTTTAAAGAAAAAAAAAAGGAGGAGCCCCTCTTCTGCAGCACAATATCTTTGTCGATAGCTTTCAAAGTACCAGCGTACTACATTTTCAGTTTGATCCATCTTTCAGTCCAGCGTTTGTTGCTCATACGTCTTCGTGGTTCAGCAGCTGGTGGGAGTAGATCACGTCTTCGTAGCGGTATCTCTCTGATATCGCCATGATGGAATCATTGCACCGGATACTACTCAGAATCTTCAGCACCTCAACCACAGCAGACCTCCAGGAGAGTAGGACACAGAAAGAGTGCATTACAGTATTGTCTGTTGTTATAAATGTATTCAGAAGAGTCATGACATCTGAGTGAATTTATGCTAAATACATTTCATTTCATTTCATGTCGTCACCAATGCTGCATACTTGATATGATGGGGAAATAGGTACGTACAAATAAAAAACCAGCCTTTTCAATATATAAGTATTACAATTAAGTATTTCGGATTTGAGCATTTGCGTGGCTTTGAAAGGTGAACTTAATGACGTGCTGCATTACGACATAAGAGTCTTTTTTTCATTTCACTCCCACCAAGTTGACCTTACAGCAAAACAAATGTTATGTTCCTTACTTGGTGTTTGGCTCCTCAGGAGGCTGCTGTTTGCAGATGCTATGAGCTTTCTGAACAAGGTGGTTTCTGAAGTTCTGGAGCTGAGGCAAACAGGAATTCTCTCCTTTGAACCAAGAGAGCGGCAGACTGTCTGCTATCTGAAGAAAGAGAGGGAGGAAGTGTGAGGTTAAGAACGTGAGGGGTAGTTGACGAACAGCCAGACCTTTATAAATCAAGCATAAACAAACAATGAAAATACACACATTGATCATTGAAAATACAAAGCACCTTTCTGCATGCATGGACGGCCTTGTTGCTCAGCGTCTGGCTGCACAGCGCGGTCAGCAGGTATCGGTTCAGAAGCTTGTCCAACATCAGTTCCTTCAACACAGACTCGGGAAGCAGCAAATCCCATTTTCCCATGTTACCTAGCAGCTATACAACAAACAAAACAACAATTAACAGCAGCCTGCAAACATTTCCTCCCCCAAGGGAAAAACTAAAACAATATAACAAATATTTAAGTATTATTTGTAAGAGAGCAGTACTTTGATGGCCGTCCAGAACTGTTGATCCCTGAAGCGACACTGAGGAGACGAGCTGTCTTCTAGGAACCTGTTAGAAAAACAAACGGTATTAATTACAGATTGAAAATACCATAGAACGTTATAAAGTCATTTGAAATCATTTGCATTAGACCTGATCTTTAATCCATCACAGTTAAAGGATGTTGATCGTCTACTGTATAGTCTGTAAAGCCCACTGAGACAAATGTGTAATTGTCTGTTGTTGGGCTTCATACATAATATTTATTTATATTGATTGATAAATGTATCATGAACATGGAAAGAGGTGTAAGAGCATGGGCTAATGAGTGGACATGTCTTCAACAATGATAACACAGGATTGAGTATTTTCTGCTTTCTCCTCGTTAGTCCTACAAATGTTCAAACTTAAAAAGGCAGGAAAAGAAACTGACGTTTTAGGGTACAGAGGGATGAAGACATCGTCATCCACGCAGCTCCTCAGTTTGCTGATCACAGCCTCTCTGAAGGCCTGCAGGGGACATGAACACGATGAATACAAAAATACATATTGCATATTCAATTATATTGGGGTTAATACAATTCAATATTGAGGACTTATTGCTTTAGTGCAGTGCTTCTCAAACTTTTTCTGTCAGGCCCCCCCTTTGGAGAAAAAAAAAAGTCGGGCCCCCCCAACACAAATAGTCAGGCTCAGTGGCGGCACCAGAGATTTATTTTGGGGGTGCTGTGGGGTAGCTTGACGTTTCATAGAGGGTGCTCAAACATTTAGGGTTTCCCATTAATGTACCGGGCGCTACAGTGGAATGTTCTACTGCAACACTCCCCACGCAAATACACAGTATACCCGCAACTGTTACAATGAAGGCTCGGTAATCAGCTCACTGCATATAGGTGTAAGCAGGGGTAAAGTGCTATTTTTATAGGTGGTGTGTGGACGTCACATTAGGGCTGTGCAATTTAATCGATCCTGCGATATATATCGATATTTTCGGTCCGCCTTGTGCCCCTAACTTACCCTCATTACACAGCTATGGCGCCCGACTTATAGCTATGAA